ACCAAGCCTTTCACCTCGGGAGGACATCTCAAAACACTTCAGAGGATACACTGTAAAGTGCAATAACTGTATGTTGTAGGCGAGTCTCCAACTCTGCATGTTATTTTCTTGCATTAACCCAGCTTTTTGTGATACTCTATGCATTAGTTATCATGCTGGTCAGAAGGAGAATAATAAGCAGTGCTGCATTAAGACTGGTTCCGTTTTAGTGGGTTCCTATTTAGTTATGAGGGACAAAGTTACCATTATGGATCAGGTAAAATCTAGTGAAATGGAGGGCACGGCCTTGGAGGTTCTGAACAAAGGATCCAGTGTTGGAAACAAATGATTTATGTAAATTTAATATAGAGCAGATTGGTGAATATCCTGGAAAAGTAAGTTTGATTGATCTTTTAATCATCCTCTCTGTTTCCTAACAGGTGAGGAGATCACACATCTTATTTTCTGTTAAAATGGTGTCTTCATGTTGGCACATTAATGATAAAGTGCTAAAGGAAACCTTGAACTTCACAGCAGGTTTTGGAACAATTAACACTGAAACTCACCCCTGGGCAAAAAATGCTAAAGTGTGGAAATAAATTGATGGGAGTAAAACGTGCAATATTCCTTAACATATTCCTAAACTTGAATATCATATTTTATACCCGTTCTTACAAATATAATTTAGACAGTATATGAAAGTTAGAGGTTTGAAGGGGTATTGGGGTAGGGCAGAGCAATGGGATTGAAACTACAGCTTGCTCTGAGAGCCGGTGCAGACTCGATGGGCTGAATGGCCTCCTGCTGTACCGTAAATTACTATGACTGTGGAAAACCAACCATTTGTGCTAGCAGGACATGAAGAGCCAGGAGGTGAATGACCAATTACTGTGGAGGATTTGTTAGCTGGCATCCAGACTTTTCTTTTCAAACAGTCTTATGATATCTTTGATGTCTAGCTGGCATCAGCAGACAGTGCCTTGGTAACTTGACATGTCTCCAATCCTTGCAGAGTGTCATCAGAGCCAGTGGCTGATTCATTTTGACTGCAATTGACCACAGTGTTAGAGAATGGGACATTGGATGATTGGAGCCAAACATTCAATGTTTAGTTACAATACAACCACAAGGAGGGAGATGCTTTCTCTGCTCTACCACAATAATAATGTGCTTTAATCCCCCCTCTGCAAGGCAGCAGTGCCAATTTCTCTATTTCCTCTGCCAACTCATTGTCGCAATAACTCCGAGGCAGATTGACAGTTACTTGAATTAGGGACAGCTTTGTTTTTAGGATCCACACTTACAAGGGGTTGAACCTGCCCAAAATTCTTATGCCAGCCAAGAGAGGGGGGGAGACTCAATCTGCTATTTAATTTGATCTAAGTTCTGCAGTGAGAAGGCTGGCCTGTTAATGGACTGAACCATCCGGTTTGGCAGATTGTCGTTTTTGAGGAATAGAGTACTGTCGCCCACCGCTTGTTGTTTTACACATGTATTCCATTCATAAATCACCAGGAACCCCCATGTTAGCTGGCATCATGCCAAAAAAAAATTACACACACACAAATCAGAATGCTACAAGCGCAGAAATGATCCAACAACGTTGTTCAATTCAAACCAATTCAAACAATGAAGATGTTTTCTCAAAGCAGTCGGGAAGCACAAAGCCTTCTTTCTCGTGCATCCCAGTTTCGTTTTTCACTTTTCCTCCATGAACGAATTACGTCAATTCTCCGCTTGTACCTGGTCCCAGAATATTATTTGGAGAGATTTTTAAAAAAAAATATTACCAGGAACCTTGCCAGATGTATGTGGTACATGAAAGGGGATATTGTGCAGATGGGGATTTGTAATAATTTTTTGATTACCGCATATGTAAAGGCACATTATTATAAACCACAAGAAAGAAATGGGATCATAAGGTCCTTTTATTAAAGTTACAAATGTTGAAATAAATTTTTATTTTTTAATTTTAAGTAAAGTACAAGCCTTTGAGCTCTCGTTGCAATTGTTCCACTATTAAAATGATGATACATCTCAAGTTCTCATTTATTAAAAAGTATTTAAAAAGTAGTAAAATAACCTTGCAAAAAGCTTTCTTTCAGTTTGCTGATTGATATCTTGCATTCAATTATATTGAAATACTTGCACTAATGGCAATGTGCCAGGATTGGAGACTTCTCTAATTACGAATATATTGTCGGAGGTGCTGTCTTTTGGGTGAGATGTTAAACGAAGGTCCTATATGACGGCTCAGATGCAATGGCAAAGATTCCATATTTGAAAAGAGAATGGAGTTTCTTCTGGTGTCTTCGTCAAAATGAAACATAACATTATTTAGTCACTCACATTAAGGCTGTTTGTGGATCCTTGTTGACGTGTTTGCCTAGAGAAATAGCCATCGCACTTGATCGTAATTTCTTGTGAAGTACTTTGAGATGTTTTGACATGAGACGTTGTAAAAAAGACTTTTGGGAGGCCTTTGAGAAATTCCCAAGAGTCAAGAAAACTGCAGGCAGCTGCAGTGCTATAAAACCCAAAGCCCATCAGATAGACACATCATGTCTGACAAATTCGTGTGGAATCCTCTTCACAGAAACTCTAGAATAAGGCCTGTCAACATGGGCTTCATTGCTTCGCTTGATACTGCACAGTTTCATTTCCATTCCCACTCCTTTCAACAAAGCCTCAAATCCACTCACTGATCAAAGGTTCCCCAGGTACTGAGTGAATGTACCATTTTGTTTAATAAATGTGAGGTTCCTCCGTGTTGGGCCAGTGTGATAGCTTTTATCACTAGTTTCTGTTTACCTATAAAGTTCAGCTGAACACAGCCTTCTACTAAGCACAGTTACTGCAAATATTCTGCCTATAGCATCACATATAAGAGGAATTCAGGATGGACATTTATCATTTGGACACTGCTGTGCACAATCGGCTGCTGCGTTTCGCCCAACAAATATACAGTCAATTCACTTTATATTCTGTGAAGTGCTTTGACACTGTCAACAACATCATAAGGCTCTATATCAAATGTATTATTATTATGGACAGTAGATTATTTGACTGCGGAGGAGTGTGGAGGGAGGGTTGACCCTCTCTACACCCTCTCACAGGTTTCTGAATCGTGAACTGAGGCCAGACATTCCATCCAATCTTATTCTGTTAAGACTATTTTGTTTTAAAATTGAAGATTGCTCAAAATTAGGGAAAAAATTGAAATTTCTTACATCATACCCTCACTCTGACTCCTTGATACAGTATATCCTGTGTAGCACTTTGAGATGTCCTGCCGATATAAAAGTTACTATATCAAATGCAAGGGTTATTATTACTATTATTTAGTACCCACACTGGGCATCGCTCCGAGTCCTGCTACGTGTTTGTACACTCACCACACTAGGTCTGCTACAGCTGATAAATGGAGTAACACCCTCCTCTCCCCAGATTGAAAGCTCATCAACTGAGATCTTCCCAGTTTAACAAGAACACACACTCACTCGCGCACACACACACACTAGCTGGTTGTAGCTTCACCAAGTTTAATACCTTTTTTTCATTAAAAAAATAAATAATTGTTTCCTAAAAATATATACATCAGAATTTTAAACACATTAAAGCTAAAAAGCATTGTGACAGATGTCACTCACATGCATCAATGCTGCTTTCACTGAAAGCAAATAACAGACAAACTTTGTCTATCACAATACATTAATTTAAAGATACAACCAATCAGTTGGGACTCCCAGTTGGGCTTAAAGCATATTTTTAGTTCTCCCCATAGTGCTTAAATGTTACTAATTAACATGAAAGGCATCGAAATTGTGTTTGTCTGCATAGAAAATCCATGTCTCTGGCAGGAGCTTAGAGAGCAGCAGGGCTTTGGTTTCTAACCTAGAGATTCCCACACACGGAAACCCAGACTCAGGCCCCTCTAAACTCAGTCACAGATGTTCAGAGGCCTGAAATTCCCCTTAGCCTTAGCCTGTAAGACTATTTTTATATTAAACAATTTCAAAGGTTTGTGCAGAATTGTGCCTTAATTCAGAAGTCGCTTTTCTTCAGCACTTGAAAATAACCTGTTTCCAATTTAAGACTGAAATTAAGAGTTTTCCACAATTTTGCATGATCTTAAATTAAGGCAAAATGACCTTACAGCCAAGGAGGATTTTCTGTATCCAGGTAACGGAGGTAGAATGACAATGGGCAATCCCTTTGTGTTGCTGAAATCCATTCTCCTGCCCTCTCCCACCTCACCCCCGCAGCCCCTGAACTTGGTGTTGGTGGAAACCTGAGAGCAAGTGTTTGCTCAAAGTGAGTTTGCATCAACCGGGAGGAGCGAGGTAATGGGGCGGAGAAGGAAAGGGCAGAAAGAGCCTGATCCACGGAGATAAATACATTAAGAAAGAATGAAGACAAGCAGAAAAGAAAATCCAAGTTCCTTTCTGAGAATTAAAATATCTAGAAGTTCATCTGCATTTACCTTTACAGCTGAACTATGTCTGCTATGTTGACGGGTTCACATTTAAAATGGCTCGTCACCCAGCCTCACCAGCGACCAGCTTGGTTGGGCTCAGGCAGCCTTCTGCCTTGCTTGATGGACTGAACTGGGGCTTTAATTTCCTGCTTCAACAAAGACCCCCAGTAACATTAGAGTTAAGAGTTCAGAGTTGAAGCAAACATTTTAAGAGATCACATTTTCATTTGGATTCATCTTTGCAGTCTCTTTCCCCTCCCACTTCCCCACCTCCATCTCCTCCCAACCCCCCCCCCCCCCCCCCACCCACACACACACACACCCCATCCCCTTCCCCTCAGCCCTAATCACAACTTGGCTGAATTGCACATTTATCGCTAGCATTCTGGTTATCCCGATCATCATTCCGTCCTTTCTTTTCGAACTCCAAAGAATTCCACAGAGCCCCAAACCTTGGGTCAGATCCAAAGGGGTCAGTACAACAGCACATCAGGCTGGAACGTCCTCCTGACGTGAAAGGCGCTATACAAATGTAATCTTGTTGTTTTTGTTGGAACCAACCAAGTCTATTTCAGACCCATGCTGCTGAGTCTCGATACTGGCCTGTGATCAATCAGTCACTCTGACGTAGGTTATTTTCTCTTCATCAGGCACAATGCGATTCGAGCTGGCCTTGAAGAAGGCAAGATGCCGGCCTGTGAACGGAAAAGAAGAAAGAATTACAGCTAGTAATCTGGTGCCTTTTTCTCCAACACAAAGCCAAGACTGAATACTGTCTAAACACGATATCCACACAGGCACTCAGAACAGGCTCTACTGAACAGTGATCAGGAATGGCAATACCTTGGTCAATCATTCCCCTTTTACCTTTCGCTTTCCCCCAAGCCTAATGGTGGTGCGAAACCAATTGTAGGGTTCTAACTTCTGTCCTAGCTGAGATCAGCCCACACCAGGATTCAAACCTGCACCTTAAACCAGCTCTGTAAAGCTGAGTGCTACACTGGCTGTTGGCTGTAACCACCAAACATCTGGCAAGGATTGTCTTCTGTTGTCTAATCGGGATTTCACCGAAATGAAGAAGAGTGATTTTGAACTGCTGGAGTCTACGTCGTGCTGCTTTCAATAACAAAATGGCCCAGATGGAATCTAGGCCGTGAGTAACTCTCAACTGCATGTCTTAATTAAATGTTTCTCTTTCACAATCTTACTTTTACAACAGAATAATGTGCTGAATGACAGAGCTGAGTACTGTTGGCTCTTACACTGTACACCCTTTGGTAGATTGCAGAGTTAATTAAGGTCGTCTTTCAGTAAGGCATCATTTGCAGATTTCATCAGTACTTTGGTGGGTGGATGCTGGCTGAGATCTCACTCATATTCCCCAGCAGCTGGCCTTCATCCCAGTTCTATGCTGCCAGTCATATTTGGTGTTTGTGCCAAGATAGGGGAGGGAAATATAAACCAGTGGTTCATCCAGTTCACCTGTAATATGGTGTATGGTGCCATTCTTTGTGGCAATTTAATGGCCACACATTCTCCCTTCTCCATAGAATTACTGAACAGCACACTGAATAGCAATTACTTAATAGATTTTTTTAAACTCTGCTTATTGCAAGCAAGAATTTTTAAATTGCCAACATTTCTCAAAATGTTGTAAAAAAACCTGCATGAGTTACATTTTTAAAAAAAGGCTTCCCCTCGTGACCTGGTTTTAAAGGCCCCTGTTTTATTTAATCACTAAGCCACATAAATCAAAATTTCACAGGTATGTGCTGTGGCTTTTGACCATTACAACTGACCACAGTGACCCTGGGTTAGAGAAGAAAAGAAAATCAGCCAGGTTATCAGCTCATGATTCCTACCCAGTGCACCGGCATATTGAGTGTAGAAGTTCGGGTTGGTTGTGACTCCCTTCATGGGTGAATAGCCTGCAGTGATTTAATGTCTGGATTCACATGTGAAAAAAGGCCACCCAGAGAAACATAGGGGTGGGGAGGGGAGTGGGGGTGGGGGGCTGCCACTGCCCGCCTAACTACACCCTAGTAAGAATCAGAGTCTTCGGGTTTCTGAATGTATCCTGGGAAACGCTTGAAGACATTCAACATTATAGGTGCTACATTAAATTAAAAGTATTATAGCAATATTCTTAAACTCTTGAGTTAGACTGGTATGATAAGCATACGGGCAAAAAGACTTTTTAAAAAAATAAGGCAATGACCCAGGAGGTACTATCTCAAAACGCATTTTAACAATGTTCTTCAAATAAGAAATGGAATGCATTTAGGAATGTCAGAATTTCTCTCCCACTCCCTACCCCCCCTCTCCAAACTGTGATCTGTCTGGAATTGAAGTATGGCTCACCCGTCCACGTGGTCTGATTAGTCAGGACAAAGGCACGACACTGAGAGTGACTATCACAGATCTCCATGGCTTCGTTGAGGTCATAGACAGACAGCAAACACCCTTCGTGGTGATATGACGGCCAGCACCTGTAATTCTCCTCCGGCACAGAGACATCGGACAATTGCTTGTATTCTGCAAGACGAGAAAGACAAAGTGATTTTAAGTCCTCAAGTTACATGAAAATCAAAAATATAAAACCTATGGGAACAAAACAGGGGAGTGGAGCTAAATTTACCTTAAAATACACAGTCATTACACTTAGTACCAATTTCCTATAAAGCACTTCAAGACTTTTGATGCTGTCGTCTCTATGTATGCCAGACTGGCTCAACAGCAACAACAGTTAGGCGGACTCTCACCTCTTGAGTTTGTCCTTCAGATAAGACGTTAAACCAAGGCCCTATCCACCTGTTCTGGTGAATGTTAAAGATCCCATCGCACTATTAGAAAAGAGAAGGGAGTTTCTCGCCATCAATTCTGTAGCTCAGTAGTTAGAGCACTCGCCTCGCAAGCGAGAGACCTGGGTTTGATTCCCGGCAGGGCGAAACCTTCGGCAAGTTTCCTTACTCCACACACCTGATATTAATCCCTCAAGAAAACACAATAATAAATTGGTCACTTCAATTCACAAATGTTTGTGGGATACTTCCGTGCGCAATTCGCAGCCGCATTTCGCCCACACATATACAGTCAACCACTTTACAGCATATTCTGTAAGCGCTTTGAGACATCTAGAAGACGTGAAAAGCGCTATAACAAAAGCAAGGATTAATATTATTATTTTATTATCAATCCCCCAAATAAAATTGTCATTCACTTCATGGCTGTTTGTAGGACACTGCTGTGCGCAAATTAGTTCCCGTATTCGCCCAGAAAACACAGTCACTGCGCTTTACAGCACATCTTATGAAGTGCTTTGTGATGTTCTCCTCATGTGAAAGGAGCTATACCAAATGTTATTATTATTGTCGAATTCAAGGATTATTATTAATAAGATGATAGCGCTTTTATGGATGTGCCAAATGGCCTTCTCTATCGTACAATTCTAAACCAGTGCCAGTCGAACTGTTGCGGACCCTCGAACATTCGCACTAGTCTAGGTAAGTCTGTGTTTGTTATGTAATGTATTACCAGGATATTCTTGTTTGAATATTTCTTGACATATTGTATAAATCAAGAAATATTTAATCAAGAACAGTTATTTAGTTGGCAGACCAAAAAGATAGGCCACCACGCTATAAATTTGCAGTATTTGACTTTTTACTTTTCGACAAGAGTGTTAAATTATAAGTTTGCACTAAAGCCACTTCAAAATAAACACGTAATTTTTGTTTTTCTGAACTGGGGAACAATACAAAAAAGCATCAACTGAGATTTCTCACTGTAAGCTGCTATTAATGTGGTACAGTATAATGTACATCCCGTGAGGAGGTGATGAAGAAGAGAAAATAAGCACGTAGGATGTTTTTTGGAGGAAAAGTGGATCACTGCATAAAACATGGAAGAAGAAAGGGCCATTCTGGACGAAAAGCCCGCTCCACCAGAGCCATTGTGACTAAAAAGAGTTTTATCCAATCTACATAAAGACCTGAAATTCCACCGAGTCTCAGCATGGAAGACCATTTTATCTTAAAACTTGGCAGACTGGGATGGCGTGCCAATACTTACCGTCAAAGTTCAACACATGAAGAATAGCCCCTTGGATGAAGTACCAGATGGCAGCTGATGCTCTGAGCTGCACTCAAATATAAGTGAGCTTTCTGAGAGGAAGGGGACAAAACAGTGGGGGAAGGGAGAGGAAAGACTCATCCGACTGATGATATTTTTCACAATGATGTACTTCACTGGAGCTTTGGCTCCCACATAAACTGGAGCCCAGAGAGACGATGGGGTGGGTTAATTGTAAACAGATGAAATTGACATATTGCAATGTTAAAGCACCACATTTGAAGCGCTCTGTACGAGTTCTTCATTTTCAGCTCACGCTGAAGCAAACTTTGGCAAATTTCAGTTTGCATGCCACGTGCAACTTGGATGGACACGTGGCTAAGAGATTTCCTGCAGTGAGACGAGACCAGTCACTTTGGCAGATGTTCCGTTGTCTGGGTAACTGGGGCCAAAGTGGGATTAAAACAATTAGTTTAAAGATGAACGGTTAAAGTTCGAGACTAAAATGGCAAAATGTATCACCCGTTAATCATTTGAACACTGAAGCTCATTATGAAGTATTTCCTTTTCTAAGAGAGGATAATGAACTGCACATTCCCCACACACATCTCAGACATTGCATAGTGCTGGAGTAGTCACTAACACCCTCAACTAGTATCTTTGCTTAGTGTGCATGTGTGTGCGCGCATGTCTGTTCATGTAACACTTGCTAATTACAGCATGCACATATATATTAATAATTCCACTGTACCCCAACTCACATATATATACACACACACATACACCCACACCTTATATGTTAATATATGATATATGTATATAGTATTATCATGTAATATATTATGCATAATATATATAGATGCTGACCTATCAACCCTCCCAATAAAGAATTGATGATTCACTTTATGGCTGTTTGTAGGATATTGCAGTGGGCAAAATTGACTTGTCACATTTGCCTAAAAAGTACACAATCACTGCACTTTACAATAAGTGCTGTGAAGCATTCTCCTGACGTAAAAGTCAGTATATCGAATGCAAGGATTATTATTATTATTAGGCTACGGTTTCACAAGCACCAGCACCAATGTAGCCATCCTTCATGTCTGAGCCCAGACAATGAGTGTTGCCAGACCGGATTCCTCAGCCAAGCTCAATCCTCTCCTCATTCAATGCCCACATGCATAGAGGCTGGGGAACTGTAAGGAGTGGGGCTGACCATTTCCCCTCTTCCCCAGCCCAGTGGCAAAAGGCCAAATTTAGCTTGCCTGCTTCCTGCCTGCCTGAGACTAGCTGTCTTAGTGGAGTCCAGGGATTGCATCCTTGACTTAACTGATCTGTATGGCTCAGCTCCAGACTTGAGTCTTACCAACTGAGTCATCAGTAAAACTGGTGCAGTTAATTTTCAATGTGAGTTTAATATTTTATGCATCATGTAGCTCAGCTTGACACACAGATTTCCAAGATACAATAACACGCTGATCTTACACATAGTTGCTTGTGGAACAGGCAGCTGAACACTCACGAGACACAGATCTCACAAATTCAAGTACTTTTACTTTAGTTACACACTATGTACAGGCAAAGCATGGCATCTAGCCTGCAATGCACAGTCCTTACACACTTTGAAGCACTTTGAGGCATTTGGACATTATAAGCACTATATCAAATCAGGGATTAACATCAATATTAGAGGTGCCGTTTGCCTGTTCAGATGGATGATAAAGATCCCATGGCACTATTCAAGGAGTGTAGAAAACAGCTAAACTTGGTCATTCACTTCATGGCAGGACATTTCTTTATGCAAAATAGCTGCCATGTTTACCTACGAATGCTACTTACAGTAAATCCTGTGAAGTGCTTTGAAATGGTTTTAACAACATGATAATGCACCAAGTCAAATGCAAAGATTATTATTACTGTTATTTACTGACAGGAAAACAGCACATCCCTGTGGAGAGAGAGCTTCTATCTTTCATCGGCCACTTTGAAGGGGACAAAAAGGGAACTGGAGCTTACTCAGAGAAAAGGGACCGAGGGTCTTCCTTTGCTAAGCTCTCTCTCCCCTCCCATCCGAACTCAATCAACACCCAAGATTCAGAGCATTGTTGGCAAAACCCTATCTACCCTGCTTGCCAAAGAATGATACAAAAGATTAAATAAACATTTTAAGAAATACTACAAATTTAGAAGCCCCATCCCCCATATAGTACATTTAACCTGGTCTGGTGGTCAAGTGGTTAAACATGTCAGTAACTGTTTTTTTATTTTAACTCTTCCCAAACAGTTGCAGTTGGGTCTCTCAGCCATCTCAAAAAGTAAGAAAAAGGCATCAACTGTAACTTCAAAAGTCCCTTTGTGTTTCCACTGCACAAAGCTCTATCTATTAAATCTAGAGAAAAGGCCGACCTACTTCTGAAAAAGATGTTGCAGATAAATTTGGCCCTGCAAGTTCAATATCCATTACCCTGTGAAGTGCATGCCTCGGGTCACTGGGTTCTCACAGAAAGAATGCGTTTTTTTTAATAGGCGGCATCCATTCAACTCAACTATTTCTTCATCAAATCCCAAACACTGAAAGTGATTGTTGCTGCCTGGACTGGACAGACATTGTCTGGCCCTCCCCCTCCGACCCATTCTTCGCCCCACCCCCCCGGAGTCAGAAACGGCAGCTAATTGTTTTTTCTTCTCCTCCATCGAACACGAAGGATAAAGAGGCTTTTAATTAACAAACCTTTCCTTACTCCGTTTGACAAATTAAAAAAAAGCTTTCTTGATGGGCTTCTAAGAAAGGAGTACGTGAAGCATGTCCGTCTGACTCTCGCCGAGCTCCTCTGGTCTGCCCTGCACTCCACCCTTGGCTGCTGTTCATTCTTACTTTGTTTTATGAACTCTCTCTGTTCTGTGTGGGTCAAAGAGGTGGTGGTGGGGGGAGAGGGGTCAGAGGAGCAAATTGTCCTGTCTCTCAGCTCCCCAGCTACCTCTTAGCTTTTAAGATAATCCGTGCGGTAGCAAATTAAAATACTCACTGATGAAGATATTTTTTGCAGCTGTGTGTGCAGACTGCACCTTTTAACCTCTTCCATGGAGCAAAATTGTTTGTGAACAAATACATCTCCAGCATAGCAGCAAAGCCTGCTTGCTCCACCAAGAGTATTACAGATATACAGTAGCAAGTACATTAGGGTTAGCTAGTGCTTTAGAGTGTGGGAGGCTCTAGCACCAACTAAGAGATGAAAAGGTGCACTCACGTCTGTTCAATCACAGGCCTGCACTTTCCACATCATTCTCCCCAGAAGATCGAATTCATTTTGCCTTAAGTCCTAGGTACCCTCGGTCCATTGGGGCCGGGAAAAGCCTCTCACTCTTCACTATGCTTCAGGCTAGCCACTGTCGCTCTTGCCAGGTAAAGACAGCTTGAGATGAAGAATGCTCTTTGGCCCATTTGGTGACATTCAATCCTGACC